CGTTTTGTCTTCTTTCTTTTGAAGATCTTCTGTTCCTTTTGTCAACGTGCACTCAGGCTGATTCAGTTATTTTAGAACCATGCTTTGACTGAATAGAATTATTTTTCTTATTGTATTTTCTACTGTTAGTTTCACTCAACATATTAAATGTTAGGCCTATATCAATTGTTAGGCCTATCACTTCTCTACATCAATGAATTATTAATAAAACTTCATACAATCGTCTGCTTTTAACTCTTTTATAACAAAAACTAAACAGTAATAAAATATTCTCTCATAAAAATATATTAGTCACTAATATCTAAACCAAACAGTCTTTTATATCATGACAATGACATATCTTATTCAAAGCTGCATATTATTGCAAATGCAATATCCAGGCAGCATGGTTTTTATTCTATTATGGTTCTTAAGGGTTAGGGAAACAGAAAAAGTCAGTGAACTTTATATTTTGTGTTACTGGCATGTGAAACATCAGGGAATTTCATTTTCCAGACAAAAACCAGGAAAAGTTGGTGAATTTCATGTGATTCAGTGATCCTTCTGGGACGTGAATGGCAAAAAAATAAATTATCATTAGCATAAAAAAATCACATACAGGTTAATTATGGTGCATGTAGCTCACCAATATGTATATTTTATCTACACCAGTCTTTTTTGCTTACCAAAAGAATACCAAGACAGCTGTAATAGATTACATAAACAGTAGCTAGGTTATCACCTAAATGGAGTGTAAGGGCTTTGGAAAAGGCTTTGTCTCGTCTTCCTAAAATTAAATCAAGAAGGATAGTTGTACTATAGTATAAAAGCCCTTCACAAATTACTATTTAGAGATAGGCTATTCCCATGCCCCCAGACTCCTATAGAAGGCAACCTCCTTTCACACTCACAGTACTGCTAAAATTTTACTATTTAAAAAGTCTCACTCATAAAAGATTCCTAAAAGATGGCATCCCTGTGTTTGTCAAATAACAAAAAATCAAGATGTTAGGGACAAGAAAGGATAAATACTAAAGGGTATAAGATATAAAATTAAAGAAAAGCATTACAGATTTAAGAAATTGAAATTGGCTAGTATGTTTGGAAACTTAGAAAATTATAGAAGATCAAGAAAGTTGGTCAAAAAGGAAATTAGGACATCAAAAAGGTTGGCTGAAAATGTAAGAATTGACAATAAAGATTTCTTTAAATACATTAAGGGGAAACAAAATGTTAGGATGGGGGTAGGACCCTTGAGGGGATGATAAAGGAAGGCTATTATCTGATGATTATGAGATGGCTGGGTTATTAAATTTGGCTATTTCTTCGATTTTTACTAGCAAAGATTTAAGCACTATTCCACATCTTGAGCAATTGATAAATGGAAACGAGATCAAACAAGATGACTGCATTAATTCTGAGCTGTTTAAGAAATAATTGGGAAGTTCAAAGAACAATAAGGCTCCTGGGCCAGATAATACTTCACCAAGAGTTTTGAAGCAGATTAAAGATTGGATATATGAGCCACTTGCTACTATTTTTTGTCAGTTTTTGAATAGTGGGCAGGTACCAGAAGGTTGAAAATTAGATAATGTCACCCCTTTTTTCAAGGGAGGTGATAAAATGTATCCCAATAATTATAGACCAATTAGTATTACATAATTCAAGAAACAGTGAAAAGAACAGTGAAAAAATTGATACTTGATTAGAGTAATACTATTATGCAATATTACTGTCATTGACAAACATGTTTGTGTACAGTAATATTCATGTCTGTTCCAGTTACCATAGCTTTTACATGTATGATTATACATCATAGTAGCATAGGAATAATGCAACTATAAACGTGGATTTTTATAGCAAGTCTGAGTTCATGTGTGAAATTTCCTCTATTTATATTTAGAATATGCAACTTCATTATTTGTAAGTATAATCTGGCAATCTTGTGAATAAAAAAACTTTCATAAACCTGAAAATATCTTTAGTAATGTTACTGATTGATAAATATGTGGTCATGTTAATACAAAAATCTATATTTTTGATATAGATGAACTAGATATGCACAGTTTCAAAGCACATGTGAAAATGATACAATTTGCTTTGGATAATTGAATTAACATGTGCAGTTGTACATGTAGCTGCAGTGTATAGTTTACAACTGAAAGTTTCATTCATTTTATGCATGTATATACATCAGAAAATATTGCTTTAATAGATATTTGACCTACAAGAAACATACTTCTCAAAGATTATTCCATTTTACAACAGTAAACATGTTCCTTTCAGGTAATAAAAGTCAAAATGTAATAATCACATATGTTAAAATCTGTAGCATTTTCTATGCTGTAATAACGTTTTTGTGATTGAAATGAAAATTAATAGGTGTGATTAGTGTGCACTGTCCTTAACAAATAGATAAAGTGCATTTGTTGTGTATGCTGTGATAAAGTATTAATAGTTTGAAACTGATATTGAAACTTTGCAAGAAGACATACTTTGATTCTTAACGTACAGCCTTGCTTGTCTTTATTAGACAATATATTGATAATGTTTTGCAGTTTCACCTTTTACTACAGATAATAGTTCAATGATAAATAATAAGCATAGAGTACAGGTCAGGGAATAATATATTTTGATCAGGGAAAAGTTGGGAAATTTAATTCTTCCATGTTTTGTGTAGTAATTTTTATTAATTTTTGCATGGGTTGGTATTTTATGTAATTTTCATAGTGAAAGCTTTCAACACTTAATCTGTTAAATAGTCATCTTACTTCTTCCTTTCTTAATATTTGTTTATTACATAATACATTTGTTTGACTACATATAGACTTCTTAAATAATCACATGTTAAAGAACTTTATCAAACTCTAGTGCTCTTGACAGGTAAATTTCTTAGATAAATGTATTTATTGTTTCTGAATGCCCATAGAAAGATATTCATGTGTGTGCATTTACTAAATGAAATGAATTCATCAATTTTTGGATAATTATAATTATTTTGGTCAATTTCATAAGTCTGAGTGTCAACCAGATTATGTAGGTAATAGACAAGGTTATCATTCAGTGTTTTTATTAACAAGTCTTCTCACTTGTTAATTTATTTTATTTTCTCCAAGTATATTTATTCATAATATCAATCCCAAGTTTTTTATATATCTTAGCCAGTTTGTTAGGTTGTCCCTTAGAAGGTATTTTGTATTCAAATTTAAGTAAGAATATTAAGATAAAACTTATAAATCTTTTGTAATTAATAGTATGCACAATTAATTATTTTTACTATTTATGATATATATATATATATATATATATATATATATATATAATATATAGTATATGTATTATATTATTATTATATATATGTACTATACAAGAACTAGTAGTAGTA